CATCTCCCCAAAATACTCTATCATGAATTAAAGGAGTTTTTTCAGAACATTATTGTCCATCTCCATAGCTTTAACAAAAGAATATTTCAGCTTATTAGTGCATCTTCTTACTCTCTTCCCATCTGAGGCTTAATTCCTTTCCTCACTGTCTTTGATAGTTTCTGTTGTTTCTTTACATGTCGATCACTCTCTTCCCCTCTCTCTGGAAAAAGGATTCATCTGCAAGTCTCATCTGGGTAACGAAAGGGTTAAAATCTTGCCCAGGCTTTGTAGATGGTTCTGTGATCTCTGCCAGAGCAGCAGCTGGAGTTGTCTGCGATGGAAGATTCTTCATTGCTACTCTGGAGAGTGTGGTCACTGTCTCAGCCTGCCGCAGGTCAAGAGCTTTTTTCTTTCTTTACTCGTCTGTCTCTGGTGAATTCAGTCACAGCAAAAACAAACTACAGCCGAGGCAGGGAGCGGCCTGGCCCAGCAGGCCAGCTGTACAAGGCCCAGCGAGCCCTGTGAGGGGTTCAGCCCCTCTGGGAAGGGGCTCCTGTCACTTCACAGCCTCCACCTTCCCCGAGAACCACAGAACTGCAGCCAGCCCCGCTCCCCCTGCAGCCTTGTCCGGCCTGGGGCGGGGGGTGGGAGGCTGAGCCGGGGCTCTGTTACCTCGTACAGCCGGGAACCAAAGAGAGAGAGAGAAATTCCCGGGTTTAGGTTTTAAAAGGTGGTGTTCACAGGTTGATCTCACTTTTCAATGGTCAAAACTACTGTCAGTTCTCAGCACTGGCCAGTTATTGGCCAGGAGAAAAAACTCCCAGCAGCCTCGAGCAGCCTTAACTTCTCTAAGTGTTTTCTACTTTTTTTTTTTTTTTTTTTTTTTTTTTTAATGCCGATCTATCACACTGCTTTTCTTGGTTTTGTTCAGGGCAAGTTGCACATGGAAGAGTTTGAGTGAAACACTGTTGAATTTGACACTAACAGTTTGTAGTTCTCACTGCTACAAAGAGGACAACAATATGATATTGGCTTTCACATTTTATATTAGTTTTTGCTTTGATTGTAAGTATTTAGATGTAGTATCATACATACATTTATTTAGCTGTTTGTTGTATAATGTAATTTACCAGTTTAACTATGTACCGCATAGCTTACAGACATAGTAGTGTGGTGAATATATGATATTATAGGCCTTAGCTAAGTGCTGAGTGTTAAAATACCTCTGATGTAACCAAACAAATCATGTTATGCCCCCTTTTCTGCTGACTGAATTATGCAAGCGATAACCATGACACAAACCAGAGCTCTGGAGGACAATTAGAAAACACCATGTTACATTTAAAGAAGACATACTAAATCCTTATCAGAGGATGTGAAACAACAGGATGGAGACACAAGGAGGAATAAAATACATTAACTTGACACACGGGATGTCATTCAGTTAAGCCAGAGCGTGAAGAAGCCAAACAGAAGAATTCCCGTAACACCAAAAAGTTCACAAGTATGTTTGAATAATGTATGAAATCAATGAATATGTACGTACCTCAGTAATGTAACAATATAAAGAGAACAAGATCGGGGACTATTGGGGTGCTCTTTGGCCGTTTGCCAAAAGCACCCCAGTGCCGGATTGTTTGTCCTTTTATCCTTTATTAAACTTTTAAAAATTCTAAAGAATGAACTCTGTTTTCCACATCACTACAACTTAAGGAAATGCATGCTGGTAGAAAACAGGTTCTGAACATGTTCATTATCCTGAAAACTTTTTCCTAAAATATCCCCATATCAAGATCAAACAGCATCAAGGCACCGAAGAAACTTATCCCAGCAAATGCGAAGGTTGTACTGCATCCAGAATCATCCCAGGTTTGTCACCTCTACTGAGTGTTAAAATACAAAAAAAAAAGAAAGCTCAGGGGTTAGACCCTTACTTGATTTTGAATGAACTACAGGACAGAAGTAGTTCTGATTTTGGTTTGTGACAGGAAGAGATGGCCTGGAGAAACGCCACACAGCAAAAGCTGCGGAAACACTTCAAGTAACTGCAAGTTTTGCAGGTACTAAATCATGACGAACATTCGAAAATTCAGGGTGTGCAACCTTATTTCTACGTTTTCACGGTTTCCTGGAAATGGGAGAGCATGCTGCTACGTTTGCTTGCTACCAATGCCTGGAGGCCACCAGATGGCCCCCGTTCCAATGCTCAGCGATGCACCTTGAACAGCCAGCCGGGAAAAGTCGGAGATGAGCATTTAGACGTTCCCAAATGTAAGACAGCAGTAGAAAATACATTCGGAGCCAAGGGAGTAAAGCATTTGACCCACACTAAATAGTATTGCAGGTATGTTACACGGAAATATTATTATAAAGATGACCACACTGCCTGAATTTCATTAGGGACCTAAAGGAGGACTTTTTAAAATTTATCTGTTTTTCCATCCACACAGCTGTTAAAACAGTGATATCTTCAAGAATTAGATGCAGCAGCTATTTTCATTCTCTGCCCCACCCACATAGGGAGAGAGAGTTATTTTATTCATTCATTCCAACCTACATTTATTTTCAACTTGTGGCTCATTTCCTTAAGCAGCTCAAGTTCGGGATGAATGCACCCTGGACCACTGTGGTTTGTTTCAGTTTCCTGATGCATTAGTGCCGCAGCAACAGTTAGCATCCCTCAATGCTTCATACATAGATGCCAGCTAGCAGCACCAAATTACAAAGCAAGACTTCCTAGAATGTAGGGCTTCCCTGCACTTATTAGCTGTATCATATTTAATTTGGAGATTAGGTCATCCAGTCAGTTAAAGAAAAGAACAAGGCTCCTTGGTTAAGTGAAAATATATTAAATGGTAAACAATAGAGGAAATTTGTGCTCTGAAGGAAGAGAGGCCTCACAGTCTTGTCCAAGCTGATGATACATCTTGTCTACGTTGTTTGCCCAGCTACTAGATAATAAATAAATTTTAAAAATAAAACAAGCAAAAACTACTTATGCTGACAGGATTTGGGGTTTTTTTTGGTTTTTTTCCTTGATTGACTTGGTTTTGGGCATTAGTTGCCTGATGCACTCAAATACTCCACTTGCTTCCATTTTAGCCTATCATTTGTCACAAATGAGCATGAGACCATACTGCATTTGATCCTACAAAGGTACATGGTAAAAAAAAGAGCTCTAGTAGTTTAGAAGCTTGGTTCCTAGAAGACCAGTGAATTATAAGTAAAGAGGAGGTGTAACATAAGTGCAAGATCCTTAATTGTGAAAAATAAGCTGTTTGTCAGCTTCCCACTCATGTTTTTGTCATAAGAACATATTTTTTACCATGCTCTCCTGGTGGAGGAGGAAAACACACTTATCTGTGGAGACCTTTTGTATAATAATCAATTCCCCTATAACCTTGGCAGTCTAACGACAGTATACAATTTCAGGTAAAAGCAATTGCCAATGCCTCTGCTCATATGTTCTGTATTTCATTTGCATTTCAAGAGGAAAGAAAGGAGGAGGTGGAAGGTAGAGAAAATAACACCCAAAATCAGAAACACTTCTTTAAAGCAGGGCAGGACAAAGTAGTGTGTATTTCAAGTCAGACTGGCATTTTTACCAATGCAGCTAACAAAGCACACTCCACTTGTAATTGACAAGTTTGTGGGTTCATCACTTGCTTTATATTTCTCCATTCTATATGTCAGTACCCACTTCACTGAGTTTTCAACTTGTTTTGCTAAGACAGCCAAAAGGTGTCTGAGAAAATACTGACAATCCCTCCATCCTCTCATAGATGACAGGGAATACTCATACATTCAGAGGTCTGAGCTTTACTTTTACACAACTTGGAGTCATAACCATAATGAGAATCAGACATTCCAAGGCTCCTCTTGATGAGCTGGAGAAGTCTTGCAGAATAGAAAAAAAAGGCACATCATTCTCCTAATTTCTTACAGAAGCAGAAAATTTCTCTTCCAGCAGTTGTTTAGTATCTCACCGTATTTTTCTGTGTCTGGCCCCTCTTTTTGCCTATTCAGTCTCCCATTTTACCTCTGAGAAGGAAGAAAGCACACACTAGTGTGGGAAGAATGCTCTCAAGACTTGTCTTACTGCAGTCTCTATTAGCAGCTCTCAGAAATCAGTCACACAGAAAGAAAATCTCCCAGTTTTAAACTCTGGCACGCTGAAAACATTTGAGAGTTATCAGGGTTTTCAATCACATTTCTTCACATTTTTATATCTAGAAAATAAATCATCAGCTTAAACAGCCATGGAAGCACATCTTACTGTATTTGTACAAGCAGACCTGTTCTATAGCAGAGACTCTGAGGCAATTTTCCTTTACTACCTGGTGGCTTTCCTTTTAGCCTGGGTGGGCAAAAGCTGTGCAAAATGGCAGATTCTCCTATTGCTTACCCATGACACCAACACTTAGTCTCACTGATTCACCGAAGAATTTCATATTCCTGTAGCAATGCCAGGCCTGGCCACAGAAGAGGAGAGTTCAGTTCCATGCTGCCTCTGTGCCATGCAGCCTCAGGGCAGTTATCACTTCTGTTAGCCTCTCCACTGGATACTGTTTTTCTAGACTCTCCAGGGCTGGACAGAGTTGTATCTGTGCATCTGTCCCTCTGTAGGATGTATTTGTGCTCACCAAGACTGATCCTCTGTCTTTTCTGAGACTTCAGGCAACTAGCTGCTATCATGTAAACATTATTATCTATTCTTACCAAGGGCAGTCTTAAGAGCACCTTGGTCAAAGCAGCATCTATTTGTGTGTGTTTCATTAGGGACATTCAGATTGTTAAAGAAGCCTGACCCTTCCATATGGGAGCTACTTACCAGGAGAGCAAATATTTTATACCAATAAATACTACAGGAGACAGAAATATTCCCATTGCATGCTCCTTAAGTACACTTGCTCTGTTCTTGGAGGATGAGCTTTCAGAGGCCAAATCCTCAGCCTTCACATCCAGTGGTAACACAAGCAAGTGGATATCCAGAAATAACAGCAACAGAGGACAGTGGATGTCACATCATGGGTTTTCTTTAGTTTGTGTAGTGCATACAAAAAGACTCAGAAAGGGATCTAACAAAACCACAAGATAAGATTTAAAAACACATCATATTTTCTATGACATTGTCCTTGGCTGTGATTAATTTACCTCAGCTTCACACACCCAGGCATCAGGGACATGCTGCCCTAGACACTGTTCTGGTCTTTGTCACAACAGAAAATTTTCTACAATGCCATTCCTGGTCTTGTGACATGAAGGAGAAAATCTTCATCTGCTTTTTCTCTCTGACATCCAACGCTTCCTCTCCAACATGCAGTTCAGAAAACATATTTTGGTGAAATGCTTCATGTCTTCTGACATCAGGAGATCTATCTCCAGAGCAACATGGTTACTGTGGCTCACATGAATATTGCTAGTCTAAGTCCCTGAGAGAGTCTATAGAGGTGATTTACTATAAGTAACCATTTAAAACCTCAAGGTATTGCAAATATTTTAAAGTGGTATTTTAATGAACATAATTCATTTTACTATAGAGTCTTGTCAGCATCACAGGTAATTTTATTAGCATATTTTATTTCCCCATTTATAAAATTCTAGTACTTTTCTTTAAATAAGGATATCTCTTTATGGTTTCCCTGCTGTGTCACATGCAAAATATCTTACAGGGACAGAAGGAAAACATGTTGGGTTTAATATAAAAACAGTCTATTCTCTGGTAGAGATAAGTCATGGAAAAATGAGATAAAATAAATAGCATTTAACAAATATTTCTGTTTTCCACAGATACATTTTGTATTACTATCTGGCAATATTTTTTCTGTTGCTCTTCCTTGAAAGACTCTTTGACCTTTTTCCTTTTCAGTCCCCCATCCCTGAAAGATATAGGAAAGAAATAGCCTTAAACTCACTTCAGGGTCAAGGCAGGAAAACATTACTATATTTAGACTATGTAGTCAAAGAAATTTCCACTCTTAATATTCTCTAAGTGATTTATACTGCCAAGACTTACTACACCACAATGCCCTCCTTTTAACCCCAGCATTTAACAGGCAAGTAATTAATTTTCACCTAATACTGCTTGCTGTCTAGATCCACCTGTCAGCTTTGTTTCTTTCTATCACTATATTATTCTGATGTAATTGTTCAAGTAATAAAGTAATGTTTTCTGAATCAGAGAGGGACTACACTGCAAATAAAACAGATTTTAAAGGATTCCATGCTAATGTTTCAGAATACAGAACACCTTTGAAAACAATTCCAGAGGTGTTGCTTCTTACCAAGGAAGCACGGACATTCCTGCCTGAGCAGCAATGACAGCCTTCACTCTGTCAGCAAAGTGAACAGCATCTTCTTCTTCCTGAAAAAATATATGAATTAATTGCTTTATGACATAGACATTTTCTCTGTGCCTCCCTTAAGGAGACAGCTTTTGTCACACAGCAGGCACTGGGGTTTACGGCAGACCCACAAGCCAAATGTGAGCTGCAGGGGAGTTCCAGCTGATTCTGGTTTGACATTATTTGGTGCCGAAAAGAACTACGCGGGAGGCTCTCTGGTTTCTGGGACCCCTCAAGTAACACAGCCTGAAGTCCCAGGTCTAGACAGACCAGGGGATACATCCCACATTAATCCATGCTCACTTAAAATTAAGACTTCAGTGTTGCTTCCTGGCCTTTGTCCATTAAGTTATCAATAAAGATTCAGAACACCTTGTGTAGTAATGCAGACCTCCTTCCAGACAACGTTTCACAAGCACTTTCAAAACATACAAAAGCATAAGAACCTCTTTGACCATCGGTGGCAGGTACCACACATTGCAGACAATAGCCCAGCTGGTTAGCACATTAAAAGCATAGGTCATCACGGAATGCTTTGTGCTGTTCCAGAAGGCATCTCCAAAGCGAGGGTCATACTGGAAGAAAAGAAAAATAAGCTCCCTTGGTTTAAATCACATAAACTGCTTTTTTTTTTTTTTTTTGCCACAAAGTCACAATGCAACTTATTAAATATGGGGAAAATCTAATCACACCTCCTGAAGGCATCAGTAAATTCAGAGTAAAGCTCCAACATTTATTACAAGTTTCTAACAGCTAACCTTTACAAGCAATGCATGAACCCAAACTGTGACAGACCTGTTGAAACACAACTATAGCGAAAGATTTATTCAAAACATAAAAACTTGTCATCTGCAGATATGCTGACTCCAAAGATTTCCTTGACAATGCTCGCACCAGTTTTAACAACTTCCATAAGATCAGGCAATATTATAGTTCCATAAAAAGTAACTAATATTTTCAGATGTAGAGTGACCTGGCTAAAGCTACTCAGAGAGACTTGAAAGTGCCAAGAAAACTGCCTTTATCCTCAGAGCATGCAAGAGACAGGATAGAAATGACATGTTTCCCATACTGCTTAAAACCACAAGAAGTTTCTGTCTCTCAAGGCTTATTCAGTACTTTATGCATACCAAATATATCTGTTTTCAGGGCTTACACATGAACAGCTTCTCTGACCTGAGAAGCATTTGCAAACAATCCTTCCATGTTTAGAAAACTGCAGTTACAGTACCTTGATTGCTACTGGATGGATGGTTCCTCCTACCTCAAAGCTTCCCTTCTTAAACATCATTACCGATGTGTTGTTAATGCAGGTGCCTGGTCAGAATTAAAATAGATGAAGGGCTTAATCCACTCTGAGAAAAGTATCAGGAAATTAATCTTAAACTGTCTTAAGAAGACTTAGCTGTTAAAGGAGAAAGTAAGCTTTAGTTCTGGAGCATAATCCCAGAGCCTTGTATGTCTTCATTATGTTATATGCTAAAGCAAATAAACTGCCATGAAACTGTTGTAAAATACTAGAACCTGACTTTTAATATCTCAGAAGAACTAATTAATTCTACAAACTAAAAACAAACATCTCACTTCTAAAGACTAGGTATAATAAACTGCACTCAATGGCAAGAAGTGAGGAGAGCAATAAAATCAATAAGTTGCTTCCTACCTTCTGGGAAAATTAAAATGGGTAACTTGGCCTTATCTGCAATGTGTTCTCTAATTCTGTGGAGAGAAAATAAAATTCCAGTGCATACTTCATATTTATGTTTGTCCAAGAATCTAAACATCCATTACCTCTTACACAGGATAAGAAAATCCCTAGTGCCAATTGCCCTTTGCCCAGTCAGTTGCCTCAGCTGGAATATGTTCTGATTTCAGGCCTTTATCTCAGTATCTCTTGCTAATTAAAAAAGTAGTTTTTCTACAAAGCTGTATGAAGTTCCATCTTATCATTTTAACCAGAGAATGGTGGTACTTGAAGCGTGTGAAAATAACTTCCCGGATTCCAATTATTAATGCAGTCAAACTTATTTAGACTGAAATATATTCCAAATTTCTAGTTTTCATGCTTTCTAGGTTCACAACATCAGTTTTAAATGTATCTAGTGATTCTCCACATTAAGTATCTTACTACATTTGCTGTGCATCACTTAAAACCACAAATATCACCACTAAGCAGATTACTGACACTAAAATCTGTCATTTTCCAAGACAACTATCTTTCCTATAACTCAAGAGCATGGAGCTCCTCTTCAGCCTGCATTAAAGAACAAAATCAAAACACCATACATCACAAAAAAGAAAAAAAAAGGCAACTGATGACAAAAAAATGACAATACTGATGACAAATTACCACACCTGACCAGACAATGAAGCAAACACCTCATTATCTTACTTTTTCCTCACCAGGTGACGGTCTTTCATTTCTGAGCGTTCAAACAAGACATGCTGAGAGGTTTGCATGCAGGATTTTTGAATAAGTCCCATAAACCCTCCATGTACCTGGCCAACCTACAAGCCCAAAAGAAACTTGTTACAAAGCAAACACAGACACTTAAATGATTAAATTCTAAACAGATTAAACCATTTCTAAGCTTATTGACATATTATAGCAATCCCCTTGGTCATAAATGTGCACACATCTGCTTGCATCTGCTTTTTTGCAGTCTAGAATGCAAGTTTGAATGCTGTCAAATCCCAGTCTTTCTACCAGGAAGTTTATCCTCTTACCCAATGCTAAATCTATGGGTATCTCAACATTACTGATATTCACCAACTGTCTTGTTCATACCAAGGAATAGCATCCATCACTGGCCAGGATTAGAACATCTAGTGGAGATGTGTGGTTGGCAACACAGATGCCTCCTTCCTGTGGTTTGTTTTCCCTGCAATGACAACAGTAAAAGTAATTAGTTAATGTTTATTCTCCAGACTACAGGCCCAATCGTACTACATCATCTACACACACCCTGCCAGTACACAACAGGAAACACTGTAGAGCATGTGAACATCCTGACAGAGTCTGGATGATCCAAACAGCTTTTTGGATCAAGTTGTACCATCACCAAGTACCCAGGCAGTAATGGAATAAGAATCCTGCTCCAAAACTTGAGATGTTAAATACTACAAATAACAAATTCCAGACTAATAAGGGCAACATGGCAGCACTCACCTGTTGTGGAAATGAACGAGGCCACTCAGACATCGGACACCTAAGGTGGCACATATCATCTGGACCTGGTTGCTCAGCCAGCCTTTAACTCTGAAAGAAATGAAGCCATAGATACATTTCCAGTTTTATGGAGTCACACATGCAATGTAAACTCCCTGGGTTATCCCCAATTGCTGTTACTACAAAGACCATACTAAGGCTCACACTGCATGTCTACTTTCAGATGCCATTGCCATTAACTCTCTCTCACAACGCTCTAATTTTACAGGAGAGAAAAAGTCACCCCATGATAGTCCACATCAACCCTCTGGACTCCAGCAGAGTGTTCCAACTACCAGTTCAAATCCTTAAAGAAATACAGAAGAAATTGAAAGAGCCCTCAGCACACACCTACCTGCCATTTGGGAACTGTCCTACTACTGTAGTGGCCAACACCAGCAACAGGACACTGAAAACAGACAAGCAGATGCTACAAAGTAAAATAATCTTAATTAACACAAGAAGCAAAACTAGAGGAGTATGCAAGAAGGTAATCTTATTTGGCCCTTTGATCCACAACACAATGCTTCTTAGCAGCATTAATAACATCTAACTAGCAACAAACCACTCGCTAACTAGCACACAAACCTCCTTCCTCCACTAGCCAATAGTATATTATTTCCCAACTTCTGTAAAAAGTACCATGAAAAATGATCCCGGCAAACTCTGTCTGGCTCACCGGAAAGGCAGCAGGAGGCAATAGCGAATTATGATGCCAGTGACCCACACAGCAGCCAGTTTCCAACTGACATGGTGCAAGTTGGCATTGGTTCTGCTGAGGAGATTCCAGGACAGCAGCTCCTCGGAGCAGAACCGTGGAGTGACTTCATCTTCTGCAACTGCCTCGCAGCCCTTCTTGGAGAAGTACATGATATCAGCAAGGCTGAAACATCCTTGGCACCGGCCAACAATCTCCTCTTCCATGGGGGTCTCATCTCTCTGGATGATCCCTGCATGATCATGAGGAAATGAGCCTTCCTTCCACATGGTGAAATGAACAATATGGATTCCAAAGAGAGTCATATATATGTCAAATACATTTGCTTTTTAGAAACAGCTCTTCTACTCAAGCACCATAATGGCATTGCTATGCCTTATTCATGTACTGATAGTTCATTCCACAAGCTGCTTCTATAATCCTATGCCATATAATGCCCCTAAGTTGCTGAGGAAGAAGAAAAGGATTCTGATCAAGCTGCAAATAAAACCTTGAGCACAGCACCTGCTTCACTGTAGTTTACCAAATAATATAGGCACTCACACCTAGAAATGTCACCTATACACTGCCAAGATGGCAGATCCCTCCTGGTGCCCTGACTCAAATTCAGGCAGAGTTTGTATGATTGTTGTTCTTGCTACTGTTGATTAGCTTTATTGTCTCCCAACTGTAAAAAACACCTTCCTCTGTATTTTCTTTCTTGGAACCTTATACCTTCCTCCATCCCTTCTTCATTAAGAATCACTTCGCTACCAAGAAACTTGAAAGTGCCTGGATTTCCACCACCCCAGACATACAAAGCATTACACAGACACATTGTGCAGGAAGAATGACAACACATTCTTGCTTTGCTATTTGTAAAATCATACCCCATAGGACAGCCACACGGCAAGTCTGATAGCTGAGCTGAGGTCACTCTGAGACCAAATTCTTATCTGGCTGGTTGCTGTACTTGAAGTTTTCTTGCTTCATACCAGCTAACACTTGGCTTTTTTGTTTGCC